TTCATATTTTCTTATTTATAAAATTCGTTTATTATATTTAACGACGATTCTTACATTTGGAACGGTATTTCAAATCCTTACACACCAAATGAGAATTCAATTATTTTATCTTGAGGTGACTTCACGATTGTTTACATTACTCAAAAGTTACAATAATAGTAAGAACTTTTTCATAAACTTAGTGCTGAACCAAATGATTAATCAGTAGTTCACTTGTTCTGGGGAGCACAACATGACGAAAAATTAATTCTTAGGTATTTTCGAAACTGCAATCAATAGCTGGTTGCTCTGAGAGTTATATCGAGATTCGCATGATCTACGATTTGGGATAAACGGAAATTTCAGATGCTTAGGTTTCAAATGGTTTTTAATTAGATTCATTTTATGTCTAATTCTTTGAGTATGAGTCTACCATCCATCAGAAAAGAAACCTGTCTTAATGAGAGTAGCGTAGCCTCCCGACAGCAGTTAGTTTGAGGGCTTGAGTCAAGAAATTAGTTAACAGAACAGTCACAAATCATTAACATAGTATCGATTTACATTATCACCTAAACGATACTGTTTTAGCAAATAAAATTAACTAGAAATGCGATTTTACAGTTTAATTAAATAAAATCGTCGAAAAGAAAATTTTCTTAGCTGAGTTGCCTTCTTTTGTATAGAATTTCTAAATCCTTACTACACTACTATCATTTAGTAAGTAGCCGAAACTTTCAAAATTCTTCAAAATGATGGAAACAATACCGAATCAATATAATCACCAACGATACGTAACCATAGTGGATGACAAAAAATTCTCTTAAATCGTATTATTTTATGAATTGGTAATTAGCAGGGTTTTTTTGTCATACTAAGTATCGACAAAATGCTCATCAGAACAAACTTTAATCAACAGTTCAGGAATTGATCATGAGTAAAAAGTTTTTCATTTGTCGGAAAACCATTTTTAGTTTTGTTTGTTTCTATGAAAGTAAAATATTAATTTGCAGTTTGATGATTGATTGCGCTTTCAATAGTTAACAAAAATTGATTTCTTAATTTTGAGTTAAGCATGATCTTATCTATTAATTACTCTTCACTTGGTGAAGTTACTGGTCTATTATGGGAAAATGATAGCAATAAATAAAGCACACATAGAAATTCCAAGGATTTTCCCTTACAAGTGTCAAAAAAAGATGATACTTAAGCTTATAAAGAAATTGGATTTGTTAAAGATCCCAAATATTAAAGCTAATAGACGTTATTAATAATTTCCATGTATTGAGTTTTTCTCTACAAAATTCACTTGGTGTTGGTGCACAAGGTGGCTATCAGGACTCAGTCACTAAGTGGATAACAGGATGGCATTTGGAGTGAACGGTACCGCGTTCTAGTCCCAGAGTGAATATCAACTCTGAGATTCAGATACATCCAGCTGACGAGTTCTAAATAGGTGAAACTCATCTTCTGCATTCCACTGCTAGCCATTATCCATCTTTATTTGCTTAGGTCGACAGTTAAAAAGACTACTAATATATAATTCAAAATACTCCAAACTATGATGAAAATAACATCTCAGTAATTTATCTAAAGTATTGATAGACATAAATTATAGGTCTAGGGATATAAGATCTATATTTCATATTTCTGCTTGACTTTTTTTCCCTTATGTCCATTTCTTTTTATTTTCGGTCTTTCCAATTTATTTAGTTGTGTATTTCGTAAAGATTAAATCTACCGACATTTTTTTTACTACAGATTTATTGGTTTTCTAATATTTTGCTTATGTTAGATGAAAGTTTTCATATATTTCTTTTTCATTTATTAAATCCACTTCAATATTAAACAAAATATAAGATAAATTCAACTTAGTATTGTTTGTTTGAATCTTCCCATCGATTTGTTAGGACTGCAACTGGTCAGTCTCTAATTGGCATATGTGCATACTGTGCGTATTGCCTCGATATACCTTAATTCACAAGCATGGTTAGCAGAGATGTATAGTGGCTAGCAATGGAATCCAGTTTGACGCGCGTTTCGTCCTATTTGGGACTCGTCAGCTGGATGTACCTGCATCTCAGAGTTGATGTTCACTCTGGTAATCGAACCCAAATATAAGATATAAATTTAATTAATAAAATGATTTTATGGTTTATTTAAAGGATGAATGAATATACTACTTATTTATATTCAGTAAAGTGAACGGTACATTAAATTGTTTTTTTTTTCGAAGAAAAATTGTTCTATTTAGCTAATATGAAATCGGTTTATAATTTCCAATTATAAATTATAATACTGTATGTTATCTTTGAACTAAATTAATAGATTTTATCTTTTTACATTTAATAAATCAACTTTATTTTCAAATTAGATAATAAAACTAATCATTTCGATAAAACAATTAGAAGATAGAGTTGATTTGAAAAATGTGATGTATTCGCATTATGTCAGTTAGTCAGCTACAACGTAGGACCAGGCACATATATATATATATATATATATATATATCGGTTCAAGTTGCCATACCTTGTTATGAAACAATTTTAACCTTATTATACATTTCAAACAATCTGGTCACATTCTTTTTCAGATCAATTTCATCTCTATAATTGTTCTATCAAAATTTATAAAGAGGATTAATTGTTTTAAAAATTAAAAAAACCTTCTTTGTCTTATTTAGCAATTACTTGTACACTGACTATAATTATATCGAAATTACATTACTGTAATCCTATATATCCATATAGATAGATAGATAGATATAGATATAGATACAGATATAAATAGATATATATATATATATGTCCTCAGAATCAAACGTAATCATCTTTCCTTTTTCCTTTTGTTATGTTAATAACCGTCATGTGTATAATTATAGAGCTAGAGATTAAAAAAGATATAAAAGATTATGGATGACAAATTAATTGATGATTACAGAAGACAATGTATATTTGACTTTTAAAAGATGTATACAAAGCAAATTGTTTTTTGTTTAAATGACTTTTTAATTAATTATTTGGGTAAAAGGAACTTTGAAACAAAAAAAAAGGGGAAAAAATTAGAGGAGAACATATTCATTAAATACAAAAGCAGAAAATGTTGATTGGAAAAATAAATAAAAAATTTGTTCATTCATTCTTGAAAAAAAAAACACATTTACTTTACTCTATTTAGATTTCAATTTTGAGATTGTATATCGTATATACTGTGATTAAATGAAGACTGATAGACCATGGGTTCGAATCTCGCGAGACGGAATCGTGGATGCGCATTGCTGAGGAGTTACACAATAGACAAAATGGTCATCCAGTGCTTCCAGGTTTTCCATGGTAATCTAACTTCAATTGACTCATGAATTCAACTATAAAATGAAGAATTGTTTGACATAAGAATATAATAAGATCCAATTTTTTTCCTAGTTTATAGCTCTCATGAATTATAGAATTCTGAAATCACATATAGTTAGTCGCGGGATTATATTATACATATTTGAATAAAATATCAGATATGTATATTGTTCCTGGTAGTTAGCTAGCAGTCATTAATTAACATTATCATGCCACATTACTTATTTATTTACTTAAACCTGTTACCCGTCGTTGAGGAGCATAGGTTGCGCACCAGAATTCTCCATCTGACTCTTTCCTACGTAATTCTTTTCGAGTTTTTCCAGTTGTTATTCATCCTTTAGATGTCTGTTTCCATTTACCGGTTCAATATCTTTTCTGATCTTTTTTCCCCTTTTCCCTTAGGAATTCGGAGTTAGTGCTTGCTTCATTATGTAGTTCGATGATTTCTTCAATGTATTTCCGATCCACATATACCATTTTTCCCTAATTTCCTCTTCAACTGGAGGTTGGTTTGTTCACTGCCATATTAGGTTGTTGATATATTAGTTTGAAAATAACCCAGTGATTCTTTTATATACAACCTCCTTATTGCTTGAATTCACTGACTGCTTGTAATGGGTATTATAATAACTTATCCTAAAGTAACTTATATTTTGCTTCTTTATTAAAAAAAACTTAATCACTTTACTTACTGGAAAATGTTATTTGAAATAAATGTACAATAGACAGCGATTGTTGATTATTGAACACCTAGTGTTACTTCTCAATGTAACTTCACAATGCACTTGATTTCATCATTACGTTTAATATTTAGATACCAGTAGTAGATGTAGAGAAAATTCAGTTCATATCCAAATAAATCCGACAGCTCATACTAATCCAAACAAACAAAATTTGTAAAAGTTTATTTCACTTTCAATTATAAATTCCCCTACGAGTTTCATTTTGCATCGATTATGCACACGTCCTAATGAAAACCTAAAAATTAGTTTTAAATGATCATGTCAGTGGTAAAAATCTCTAGACTGACTTCATTCAGTTTTAATGTACACTTGTGGATTGTTGATATCTTTGAATTTGATGATAGTAAAAGGGTAAAGTAATAGTCTTTTTACTTAATTAACCGGTAGATTTCCAAATCTTATGTATTGCATCAAAGTTGCCGTTCTTTGAAAATCTTTTCTATCAAAATCATGTGTAAACAAGAGATCATCTGACATTGTTTTTGAGACATGTAACCCCTATGGATAATTCGTCAGTTTTCGATCGAAAATTGCATGAAAATGCCTTTCGAAAATTTGATCAGGGTACCGTTCAGATATTTTTTGGGAACAGTAAATTCTAAACTTTACTAACAATGAATGCCGTATAATTACGTGATTAATGTTGATGTTTATTGAAATACTATTGGAACATCTAAGACTAACCATGGTTTTTCAATTATTGAGATGCAAATGTTATTATGATGGAGAAAATAATTAACATGTAGACCACTTTTAACATAATTTGTTAAAAACTTTTTCAAACTGGTTTTTACTCATTCAAACCCTATTCATGTCACGTCTAGATAAGAATCTTTGTACATTATTTTGTGTAAATGCACTATAATTTTTTTTGGTAATAAACTACTTTTCAAATACATCGTGATCACTTGACCTCACTTAAAAAATTATGTTGACGTTATATTTATTAATTTTCTTGCTTTTAATAATCTATCAAACAGGGTTTCAAGGGACTAAACCTACCAGTAATCAAACAGTTATCCCAGAGGTAATTATGTGTTTATCAAAACAAGATTTCTAATACACTTCAATTTGGATAACCCTAATATACTAGCTACAGTAACTAACTTCGTAAGCGCTACATGAATAAATTCTACAAGGCCGTGACAAGTGTAGTCCAATCTACGTCGAGTGTGAGACAGTTATTTACCCCAGGCAATGAATGAAGAGTTGAGTAAAATCATAAATTGACTGAAATCAGGCATCTTTGGGTGGTTAAGAGTTTGTACGCGAGATGAAAGATCCTGGGTTCAATTCCCATGTAAGGAACCGTGGGTGTGCATATTTGAGGAGCCACATACTAGGGCGAAATGCTCATCTAGGACTGCCAGTTTTTCAATGACGGTCTAGCCTATATTGACTAGTGATTTCAACTGTAAAAATTCTACAAATATATTATGTCATAATACGGAACATGAATTGTGGTTTTTTCTAGAACTTTATACGTACATATAGATTTTGCTACTAAATCGCAATGCCAAAAAGTTAACTTACAGTTTATACGCAGAAAAACACTAACCTAAAAATAGAAACTAGTTAGAATTTGTTCTTTATTTTAACTAAAAATTGTTACAACCTTTATTTACCGGCTGGTTCACATGCACACAACTACCTAAAACACATGCACAAATGTTATCTTGAATCGGATTTCTATATGATACGCATTCCTAATGAATCGTAATTTCTAATGATTTATACCTCATTTCATGAAAGATTGAATTGATACAAATAATTGCATTTAAACAAAATTTGTATTATGGTAAAAAAAAGACAGTTGTTATGTTTGTGCTATCCATTAGTTGATGCATTCTTCAATAAGATAATGACACAAATTGAAAGAAAGATTCCATTCCATTATAGTTATTTAAACGACTAGTTTAAAGTAAATGAATACAAGAATGGGATCTGAAATATTTGTTTTTTATACCGTACAGTTAATGTGTTTAACAGTGACATCTATGTTGTACATTTGCAAAATAACTGGTCTTTTATACATGGCTAACATTAATATTAACTTTGTTATAAGCAAAATCAACCATTCATCTTTATTTGAAATGTAGAAGAAAATCAACAATGAATCATCAAATTTCATAGAAGCCAAAAAATTTACAAGACTTGGTAATTATTACCAAAATGTCCCTTAGATATTGTTGAGCATCGATATCTATAAAATTCAGTATTAAGTATTAATATAAATAAATGATGTATATATTACGTCTCAAACATACTATCTACATACCACTAGTTTTGAAACTTATGTACCACCTTTTCTTTAATTAGATATCATTAAAAATACTTTTCTTAAAAATGATGAAAACATGAATAATCTATCACCTAAGATAATAAAATTCATCTTATAATGCTTCCTATTTGATTACCCAATAGTTAATATCAGTATTTTGATTGTAAAGATTTTGTTTTGACAAATATTACTCGAACTATAACACAATTTAAATTCATTTGATGTTATTTACTTATATCCTCCCATTGTTATTTAGGACTGCAATTTGATCAGTTACTTGTTGGCATATGTACATTCTGTGTAGATTGTTTCGATGTTGCCTTAGGTCACATGCTTTATAAGCAAAGATGGATAGTGGCTAGCAATGTAATCCAGAACACGTGTTTCGTTCTATTTGTGACTCGTCAGATGGATATACCTGTATCTCACAGCTGATGTTCACTCCAAGACTTGAACCCAGTACCGTTTACTTCAAGTTTCTACATAAATGATACCAATCTTAGCATTCTGAAACATGTAAACATGAATAAGCCTTTTAAATTCATAACTTCACTTTCTACACACTTATTGCTTAAATCATATAGAGCTAATTATTAAGAAAGTTTGTGTATATCTTTTTATTTATCAGATGATGGCTTGGAAATGAAGCAAATAAACTATCATTTGCAGAACATATATGTTCATAATGTTTATTAATGCTGAAACTTATTTTCATATTTAAAGCAATTAGTCCCTTTGATAAATTTCGATAATGTAATAAGAAGACGAAGATTATCAGAACTATGTGATATATGAGCGCAATACATTTCGAACAATCTGATCACACATATACTGGTTAAGAACATTTATATATACAAATAAAAGGTCAACTAGACTGGTAATAAGGTTAAGAAATAGACAAGGATAATAATGATAAAATAATGTGAAAACAACTTGACACCTAATCACTCTGGATAATAAGCATTTATTACCAGGGTAGGTTTAAGGAGAGAACAAATTGTTTTTGAATACACAAAGAGGGTTTGAATTTTCGTATGGCTAAGGCTTCAATAAACCTCAGTATACGCCCTTTTACACTTTTAAACAACACAACACTCATTTGTATGGACTACCTAAAATTCACAAATCAAATATTCCTTTACGACCAATTTTATCAATGTGCCGATCACCCACACATAACCTAGCCAAATGGCTAACAAAATTATTGGATCCTATTCGACGACGTTTATGTAAGTATTCTCTAAAGGATTCTTTTGAACTGGTCGATCTTTTAGGTGACATTAATATCAAAAGAAAAACTATGTGCTCATTTGACGCGAATTCCTTATTCACAAATGTACCTTTAAAAAGGACTATTGACATATTATGTGACTATATATTTTCAAACAACCTTAATTTACCTATCCCCTTAAAAATTCTTAAAGATTTATTACTTTTGTGTACTGATAAAGTTCAGTTCAATTTTGAAGGCGAATACTTTCGCCAGATTGATGGGGTCGCTATGGGTAGTCCGTTAGGGCCATTACTCGCAGATGTGTTTATGGCACATGTAGAAAATTTATCTGAAGACTTAATCAAAAACATGTCACTTTATAAGGAATATGTCGACGATATCTTAGTAATTGGCGAAAGAATGGAAGATATAAACTGCCTATTGAATAAATTAAACACTATCCAAAACCATATCAGTCTTTCATGTGAAGAGGAGAAGAACGACCAACTCCCCTTCCTAGATGTACTTCTAAGCAGACGAGAAGATGGCTCAATAAAACGATCCATTTTTCGAAAACCGACGTGGACGGGTCAATATCTTAGTTACTATAGTTATTGCCCTGTGCAATACAAACGTGGTTTGGTAAAGTGCCTTTTGACAGGCTTCGTCTTATTTGCACAAACGACGCTATTGATGACGATGTTAAGTTGTTAACCATGACATTAATCGGGAATGGTTATCCACCTAAATTTATCAATAGATGGAAAGTTATGGGCACAGCGAGACCTGCGGTAGCCTTGGTAGAGGAAAAGCCTGTTTACATCACCTTACCATTTAGAGGTGATTCAAATAACCTTTTACTGAAACAAAGGCTTAAATCAGTCATCAACAAAACATATTGTGCAGCAAAGGTCATAATCAAAGAAAGAACGAGGTCCATGCTTCATTCAAAACCTAGACGACATGAAAACGATTGTGTCACATCCCACTGCGTTTACCAATTTAAATGTGTGTGTGGTCACACATACATAGGGAGGAGAAATCTTGATCTGAAAACTAGGGTGGGTGAACATGTACCAAAATGATTGCAAAAACAAATACAGTCGAATGACCTAATAAGAGTAGATGATAAACATCAATCATCCTCTGTTGCTAAACCTATAATCCAAACAGGTCATTGGATTGATCTTAACTCAGCTTTTGTTGTGTTGTTTAAAAGTGTATCCAGAGTGATTAGGTGTCAAGTTGTTTTCACATTATTTTATCATTATTATCCTTGTCTATTTCTTAACCTTATTACCAGTCTAGTTGACCTTTTATTTGTATATATAAATGTTCTTAACCAGTATATGTGTGATCAGATTGTTCGAAATGTATTGCGCTCATATATCACATAGTTCTGATAATCTTCGTCTTCTTATTACATTATTTTCATATTATCTACACCACCCTAAATAATCATGATCTATGATAGGAAACAAATCTTGTACTATCAGTATGTTTCATTAGAAATCACAAATAACTTTGTATCTAAGATCAATTTATCTATTTAATAGTTCACTGGGAATATTCCTATTAAATTATTGTTATTTGAAATGTTGTGAAACACTTTTCTTTGCCCTGAAAATAACTTCTTTCTCCCTATAATAGAAAGTAACCTTAGTGTCAAGGTTAAATTCCAACGTGTAAATATTATTGAATGAAATATAGATAAGTAGCACACTATTCATTCAGTGTGCCCAGAAAAACTTCGATTTGGCATTTACGCACACGTGCATAGATTTATGGGTCATTTAGTGTAGACCAATGTATACTAATCATCTGTGTTGAAAATAAGCATCACGTGTCAGCTTACTAAGTTTGTATTTCAGCATAACCGGTATTTTTTACAGTTAATTGTGCATGAATGGCTAGTAGTGAATTGCCCAATACAAAATATGATTATAATTATTATAGACACAAACATAAACTAGGGGTACATCCATGTATGTATATATGATACCAAGTATAAGGTAAATGTTAATTACCGGTCTGTAACTTTTGAAAAAGCTGTTCAGTTTATTGTTTTAATAATCAGAAATAAATGGATTACAAACAACGGTATTAGGAGTCAATACAAATATAAACACTGGTCAGTTAATACTAATTAGGTGAGTATCTTACAAAAATTTTAGAGTCATTAGTTCTTATAGCTTGTTGTTATGTTACACAAAGTTTGTGGAACAATGGAGTAATAACCAGTATATGTTCATAATTATAAAGCTAATAATTTCGGCCTATCTGTAGGATCTTAAGATATTGGATTAAATTTTAGACATTTTGAATTATGATATGACTAGACAGAGTTCCGTAGTTCATATGAATAAGAACCTATTCCTATGGTCATCTATTAACGTACATGACCCTCTTAACTTTATGTGATTATACACTGTTTTGAGAAGCAGTAGAAACGAAGCAGCGAAACCAATCTATGGGAAACGAAAGTGATTTGGTAAAAGTAATCCTCAGAGAGCCTGTTTTTACAATTATCTTTATAAATCAAACATTCGATCTCATAGTGTTTGATGATTGCCATTTTGATATGAGGCGAACTATAGAATTTTATGAATTTCCCTAAAATGACCTTGTCATGTTTGTGTGAATAAATATTTGTCAAAAACATTGGAATATTTTATGTAATGAAAAAAGATTAAATAGCGGAATATTCATTTATTTAGTTTTATTTTCTAAAAACAAATAACTGGTTTGGTGATTAATGGAAGTTTTACTACGTTGATACGATTAAACAAAGATTAATAGTGGCTAGCAATGGAATCCAGGTCAAGCATTTTGTCCCATTCGGCACTCATCAGCTGAATGTATCTGCATCTCACAGTTGATGTTCACTCCGGGACTCGAACCCGGTACCGTTCACTCCAAACGCCATCACGTTGTCCATTTAGCTACTGATACGATTACTTTTATTTAAATAGTATTTTTGTATCTAGGATACTATTTTTTTTCTAATTGATAAACCATATACTTTTGTATCAGAAAAACTAAAGTGCCACTTGATCTTTTGTGAAGTTCGATAGCCAGAATATCCATTGTTAAGTATTCGATGAATAGTAGCTAGACAACCATCTGACTGAAGCATTCGATTTACTCTGTGATCAATGCCCATAGTTTAAAACTCACATTCTGACCAATACTTCACTTTGAACTATATATGAGTCTCGATACAGAAACTATTGTGTGACAAATCCATACGAAAGTCTGATACAAAATACACAGAAGCGAACGTAAAACGCAAAGAAAATTTTTGTCGGTAGTGAAGAATCGAACTATAGCATCGTTTTATTGGGTTAAATGCAGATCTTAAATAGATGGTACGTGTTGAATTATTTCTGTGAATAACATATAAAGTTCTTGATTTCGAAATTGATTGTTACTTGTAGTTTTCTGCACGAAATCTCCTTTGGTATGGCTAGATGTTCACATAATTATTGTCGTTGTCATCTAAAATACCGCACTGCACAACATTGTTTTAACAATTCCACTACCTAGTAACCGTTAAATCTTTAAGTCTTTTAAATTTAATCTCTATTATAAACAGCTAATATGTTATTACTCCGTAGTAAGAGAAGAATTTCTGTTTAAATTATCCAACTACCCACTTATGTCTTGATTTAAAAGAAACGGTTTTAAAAGCGACATTTTGTTACTTTTTTGTCATTTAAGTACAAAATAATAAAAAGAGATAAGAATGAACGCAATAATAAATGGAGCCTTTTTATAAAGCCAAGTGACAGTTTCTTCGTCAGTTGTACAACACATTGTAGACTTTTGGATAAAATTTAAGTGATAGAAATTAGCGATTGTCATTATTTAAGCGACAAAAATGAAAACTAATTACATTGACGTTAATCTTTACAATCCCTCCAAACAATATTTTCTTAGTCTACTAATACTTATTTTACTCTGTTTAAATGTTTATCTATGCCATTTTTAACCATTCACTGCTTTTATCTCGTTGAAAAGCATGACATTCTTAATAGATATTCTTCTGTGTAAATAATTCAGCGGTACATAATCTACAAATCAGGTTGGCATTTTACAGGGTAAAACTGCATAGACCAGTTTTTATTTATAATTTTTAAGCTCTTACTTAGTGAATAAAAGCAGTAAAAATAAATGTACATAAATGAACATAAATCATTTTCAGAAGGGGGTTTTGTGAAGATTTTATTATTTCGATAGTTAAATTCATGGGGCAATTGAAACTAGACCACCATAGAAAACCTGAAAGTACTGGACGGCCGCTTCGTTCTAATATGGGACTCTTCAGTGCACTACTGGGGAGAATCTCTATATAATGTAATAATATAATAATATAATGATATATAATATATATATATAATGTAATATATATAATATGTAATATGTAATATGTAATATAATATGTAATAATATGTAATATATATAATGTAATACATTATCATCATAAATTTAAGAACCTTTCATTAAACTACTTTTAGTGAAGAAATTATAACTTTCTGCAAGTCTACCAATAATGCTTGATCCAACATTGAATGTCTGTAGGCTATACAAAAAGACGAAGTTTGTAAATTGATTTACAGAAATCAGTCATATAAACATTTCTACTTGTCAGTATAACCATACACTTAATCAACTCTTATACAGTAATGTTGTACAATCTCAAGAATAACTATACCTAAGTATTGTAAATTTCTTTAAATTCAACTCATTCTTATCTTGATGATTTGCTATACACTTTGAGATCATAATTTCACTTATTTCAAATAAAAATCTACACAAATATATGCAATGCCGATTCACTCAATGGAAAGGAAATTTCTTAACAATTCTAAAGATTGAACTTTCATTCAACACTGAAAGAGAATAGTTATCCTCACTTATTATTAAACAATATTTTTCAAAACTTGTACTTCTGTTTAACAGTGAATTTATTCTGACTGGGAGAGATTTCTTTTGAAGATAAAATTAGCTACTTATAAGCTCGATTAATTTTTTTTTTAATTATCAAACTGATCATAAAACACTGTGTTATGGATCTTTTTAAGAAACGTTCTTAAGTTAATTTGATAACTACCTAGATTGTTTTTTTTTTTTATAAACTTTAAGTCAATATTTTGGTAAAAGAAGAAACATTTTGTTGAGATTTAATGATATATGTATTTCTATTTATAGATATAGATGTATAATCTAATTTGGCTGTTTAGAAATAGCCAGAACATACAGTTACAATAAAACAAAATGGTTTGTGATTTGTTTATTTGTTTTTTTCTATCATTGAACTAATATACATCTCTTTTGATATTATTATTAGTTACAAGGGGAAAACGAATAAACGGAATACTTTTTTTAAATATATATATATATAATTAATAGTACGGATTTGTTGTAAACAAAAGTAAATCATGAATTCACTTAGTATTGTTTGTTTGGATCTTCCCATCGATGTGTTTAGGACTGCAACTGGTCAGTCTCTAAGTAAAAGTAAATCATTATACAAACAACAAAAATGTAATTTTTATTGGATTTTAGCCAACAACAACAAAAAAACACCGTTTTTTTTTCTTTTTATAGTTAATCAAATTATTCAGTAGGTTTTAAATAAGGGTAAAATAGTGAATATTTAACTTGCAAATTTTTTGAGTTTAAACAGATTAAATTAGATAGTTTTTTTTGTATACTGTTGTACTACGACAGATTAAGTTTCATAGTTTTACTTATTTAATTTAAAACACTTGAAATTGAACATGTTTACTTATGATGATCGTTTGACCGTTATCAATCCTTATATTTACAAACTAAAATTATATATAAAGATGGTTTTCATAGTGAAATGTTAGATGAATGACCACTGTAAATATCTCAGTGTTGATTGTTCCATTTAAATCAAAAATACTTTGGTTATATAATAATAAGACTACATAGTATATTTTGTTTTCTAAAGCTTTATGTGGAACGACAGATAACTTAAAGAGTAAATAGATATTTTACATTGTTATAAGTTGTACAGGAAATTGTTATTATCTTCTACCCGCCTATTAGAGAGCAGTGATTTATCGATCGGACCAATGATATACGAAACCCGTACGAGCAGTCCAGAGTATTTATCGGTCGTGCTTTCTGCCTAGCCCAGCCAGTTAAGTCCAGAACACCAATAACAGTCTCTGCAATATGAATCATTATTTTCAAACATAATGGGTTTAAATACCAAACAAACAGACCACATCGTACCATAAAATAAAAACTGACATTTGTACAAGATTCAGCTAAATGTGGCTGTGAATAAGGGGAACAGTGATTAATAGACAAGGGATAACTCAAGAATGGTAAGTCATATAATAATAGATTATGGGTCAAAATAAAGCTTATAATAAAAGGAACATGAATATGAATAGTTAGATTACTTAACAATTATATTGGTCCACAGTTCTCAAAAGTTATCATTCATAACTCTCTTCGGGATATAACATACATGACTTCAACTCAAGTTTCATTCACAATTTGAAATCATTTCTATAAATATACAACTGAAATATGTCTGATATAAACACGAGTAACTTGCTTATCATTATAAAAAGTGAATATTGAAACTATAGATAATGTTGAAACCAAGATTTTATCCAAAGATACATATACACATCAATCCCAAAACTGTATTAAATAGTTGACTAAACATTTGTAACCCGGATTTTACATTACTCTTTGTCCCATCAATAATAGAATAATCCAGATTTTAATTTAATTAATAAGAATTATCTTCGAGTTCTTAGATAGATTATACCCAATGAATTTCATCATACCTGAGGCATACACCATCTAGAAAAACTTATCTTAGCACCGATTATTTCATCACACCACTTACATCTATTACATTGATGATTTCAACTCAGTGGTTAGAAGTTTTTATTACGTTAAAGATTCTAGAAACAAATTCTTGTCAACATTAAATTATTCTGTACAATATAAAGTAATGCAGTTGTTAGAAAAAAATCACATCTGATCACAGTTGTCCAGGATAAATCAAAATGCTTTAGTACATAATTTGTTTTTTGTCCATTTACTGCTTGAAAATTATAAACTATATCTGTCTTGATTTGCCTGTATTTCTTTATTAACTGATACCATTATTAATAATTTATGCTGTTTTCCAAACTAGATACACATGTTAGACAATCCTTGTTATTATTAAATGCTTTTAAACTAACTTTATTAAACATGGAGTGCAGTAAATCAAATGATATGACTTCACATATACAATATATACAATTTTAGTGTTATATTTATGTGTATACAACCTGTTTCTACTATGTTCTTGAGACTAATTATATATTGTCGATATTTTTTAAAACATTTTCCATTAATGCATACAAATTTTATCTTTTAAACTGCTCTAGGTAACCATCTTCCATAGAATTTAGAGTTATGAACTTGAGTATAGTTTTTTGAGTTCTAGTTTTTCGACTTGACATTATATTCATGTAAGTTATCCAGTTGACAAAATGTTAATGATATTTTATCAGCGTTATTGTTAGATTATGGTAAATCAAACATCAAGTGATGTTACTTACTATTATGCTATTGTAAAATGCACATGACCGATTTGAAACCGATGAATCTATGTGTTTCCTAGCATATAAGCCTCTAGCTCGGGTATCTTTCTAACGACAATAATAAATATTTAATGATAAATTTCAAGATTTTCCAACAATGAAAAAGCTGATGGGTTAGTTCAGTTATAGAATTTGCAAGCACAGACAGTATTCAATCAGGTACTATCTCAGGTTTAAAAAGTAATGAACTTTGGAGCTTTGCTTTTTAACAATTTCTAAATGACATATCAACAACTGTTTATTTTTAGACATTTTATTATTTTAGACATTTTGTTACTAAGCAACACTAGTCAACTTTTTATAAATTTTTTTACTTTTATTATCAGTCCACAAATAACAGAAAGTCTTAATTTTGACGTTGGTTTACCACTGGGTAGTGATTAACGTTGTATTTTTCTTGTCCTTAAAAGAGATCGGATTCTGTCGATCAAGCTGTCTTTTGATTGCTAGGACTTTATATCACCGGTCACTACTTGCTGGTCAGTCAATGATAAATACTTCAATCAGTCGCAGTTGAAATAGCTCAATATCTCGAACTGTGTCTCTGGGTGACGTGGGTTGTAATATCCAAGGGCGCATCATTTCCTTCAAGATTACAGACACACCTCATTGATGAGAACCAACTGGCATTAAACTTAGGTCAAGGGTTACATTTCAACTACGTCCAACCACCTAATAGATAAAGCTTTCTCAGTGAAATTCAGATTTGTGTCAATTACTAACTAATGGTAAAATTTGTATGCAATTAATTTGTGATCTCATCTCATTTTATACTCTTAATCACCATACAAATATCTTTGAATTTTAGACCCTACTTCCGTAAAATTTTGTCCTAATCACATCGACTATAATTTTATCTCACAGAATGAAGATAAGTCATGTAACATTGGTAAGTCAATCAATTATGTACTGTTGTCATCACATAATGCCATGAGTTTTTGTAATTTCGTTACTATAATACATATTCCTCTTTAGTAGTTTCACTTATTTCAATGATATTACGGTATGAGTTTGTTAAAAATATCGAACACAAGAAATTCCTATATTGTTATACATCAGTACTGCATTGTGAATAATAACGAACTAAAGCCTAAATAGCTTGTTGTTACTCAGGAAGAAAAGTTAAACTAAATATACATTATACAAATTAAGGTATAACTATGTGAAAATAAGTTTCTGATGTTAGACGCAGTGAATTGAAATCCAAAACTTCATATCAATACGCTTATATTAATCAGAAGGTCGAGTGCATTTGAATGGTGTTGTTTTACTTGAATATCGAGTTTATAGACTTATTATTTGAGAAGCTAAATGTAATAATAGTACTTCATTACAAATTATTAAGGTCAGTCAATTAATGAACCTTTAATAATGGATGATGATCTATTTTAACATAAAACATGTTTTCAAAGATCATATCCACAATCTTACATCATTGAACATTATGTCCTTTTTAACTGACGTTACTTATTAATATTTCTCTTAATTACTTCAAGTCTGTTGTTTCAACTGAAAACAAATTCAAAACTCACTTGGTAACCCTAAATTATTTTCTTGTATGTTTTAGAACTTACATACATATTAAAAGTTGCTTATCTACCTTAACATATATATACCATTCTGTTTAATCCTGCAAACATTTGACCTCAATATTATTTCACTAAAAGTTAAAATATTAACATTATATATTAATCAAAAATCGTTAAAATAAGTTACCCTGTAGAAGAATAAATATTTCCTACATTTCTAAAGTATACAAGACAGAACCAGAAACATTTATCAATACATGTTTGTCTTATATGATGATATACTAAAGAAGAATAAAAGAGAAAACAAATACCATGAATTCTTCTTACATGAATCATCTCAAATATAAATGCAAATTATTGATTAATTGCCTTATGAAACCATAAGTTGTATATAAAACAGAAATTAATTCGTCCTACAATGATACTTTTCAATTCATTTTATTATACTTCAAACTTTCACTTATTTTATAACTGAGAAAGATAAGAAAACAACGATTTTTTAAAAAAAAACCTGATTCCAAACCAATGGTGCACATGGGCTCCAGTATCTTGATGGAACGAATGGCGGACGAACCTGTCATTGGTCAACGGCTACCATGGGATTGCATCTCCTCACGATGCTCCACTGCCTTGTGGATCAGACATTCAGGTCAAAGGCTCGGGGTGTGGCCCCCTAAGAAAACCACCTGCTTCAGTCTGGGCACCTGGGCAGTATCACAGCCCTCACACAAATCGAATGAGATTTGTGAGGCGCATATTTATCTGGTGCTTCATTGTACCAATATTTATGTGTTTAAATAAATAAATAAAATAAATTCATTTTTCTTTACCTCACCATAAAACTATGTGTAACACTTATAAACAAATGAATGTCACTTTTTGTATTTGTTAAAGAAATACATTTGATCATGAGACAAAAGTTAAATTGTGTCATCTTTGTATAAAATGGGCAAGATAAAATATTTCCATCTTTAAAATGAACATCTTCCTATCTATGTTCAAGACTTTAATTGATCAGTCTCTTATTGGTATATATGTACATCCTGTACGAACTGTCTTAAAATACAAGCATTATAAATATTACAAGGTAATGGTTATCTAAACTCAGTAGCTAAGTAGATAACATAGTGGCGTTTGAAGCGAGCGGTACTTAGTTCAAGTCATGGAGTGAACATCAACTTGAATGTAGGTACATCTGGTTGACAATTCCCAAATAAGACGAAACGTGAATCCTGAATTTCACTGCTAGCCACCATCCATATCCACTTATAATATAATGTATTTATTTTAGTATTTTGTATCAGATGAAGTTATACAATAAAAGTTCTCATAAATAAGTCACTTTATAGTATAACTATATGAAGTATTGGTTATAGTTCATGTGATCGTATCCGAATTCCATGAAAACTAATAATAAAAATGATGCCTATAGGGATAATCATACTGATCAATTTTAATAAGCAGCCTATTGATAATTTATCTGAAAAGTATTTTATGGTATTTGCTTAATAAATATTTCAAAATATCCTATTATTTTAGCTAGAATTTTAAAATTCTAGAAATTTTTTAACAGTTGACTAGCCAAGTTGAACTATGGATATTCATCGAGATGAATAACCAATTTCTACTTGGTAAATTTAATAAATATTATTAAAAGACTAATATTTGAACGAAGAACGAAGCTATTAACGTACTCCTAAACGATGAGACGTTATTGATTACGAAACCTGACAAAGGTTCAGGAGTGGTTCTTCTCAATAAAAACGATTATATTGATAAAATGGGGACCATCTTAAATGACAAGTTGAAATTCCAAAAAATAACTAACCATAAAGATCTCAATATGAAAATAGAGAAGGAGCTTACTAGTTCTTTGAAGAAGCTCAGAGACAAGCAGACTATTTCGTCTGGTCTATATGAAATGATTAAACCAGTTGGAACCTATCTGCCAAGACTGTATGGATTACCAAAGGTACACAAACCGGGGATCCCATTAAGACCTATTTTGGATATGTATAACTCTCCTTATCATACTATAGCTAAATGGTTGGTAACTTTATTGAAACCTCTCCACGAAAAGCTGGTAAAACATAGTGTTAAGGATGTATTTTAATTTGTTGATAAAGTAAAAAATGTCAATACTTTGGGACAAAAGATGATGTCTTTGGATGTAACATCACTATTCACGAATGTCCCACTTCTTGAGACCGTAGAATATATAGGGGAACAACTGATTGAAAATAAAATTGAAACTACTGTTCCGATTAATGTCTTGAAAGAGTTATTACTGAAATGCACCATGAATGTAAATTTCAAATTCAACGGTGACATATTTAGACAAACAGATGGTGTGGCAATGGGTTCACCTCTGGGCCCTATACTAGCTGATATATTTCTAGCTAAATTAGAGAACGGTCATCTGAAAAAGATTATTCAAGAATTCAAATTTTACTGCAGATATATGGATGACACATTCATCCTGTGTAAAGATAATATTTCACAACAAGATGTGCTTAGGCAGTTTAACGAAGTGCATCCAGCCATCCAGCTTACATCGGAGGAAGAGAGTGATGGCCGATTAGCCTTTTTAGACGTCCTCTTAACTAAGAGATCTGATGGATCGTTAAGAAGAAACATGAACAGAAAAAGTACTTGGACTGGACAGTATACACACTTCCTAAGCTTTGTACCTCTACAGTACAAACGAAACCTAATCAAAACCCTTAGCTACCGAATACGCACTATATGTTCGGCGGATGTAGTTGACAATGAGCTAAACACATTGCATAATGCTCTAAGGGAGAACGGGTATCCCAGAAAATTTATAATTAAATATATGATCTTTAAAGTGAAAATAGGCGAATTCCAAACGGTCAAGAAAAAGTCCTTGTTCATGCGCCTACAATTCAGGGGGGATGCCGCTGGCGAAATACTTGCTCAGAGATTACGCAGATCTATCCAAAAATCTTTCAACGCAGGTGAACTACGTTTGGTGTTTTCTACGCGTCCAATGGTGACACCGAGGCTTAAAGATGAAGTTCCTAGAATGACCACTTCATTTTGTATTTATCAGTTCGACTGCTCCTGTGGAGCAAGTTATATTGGTCGAAGTTCTAGGAATTTACATTTTCGTGCTCGTGAACACCTCCCAGCGTGGCTAAGCAAAGGTCTGATGAGGAAAGTAAACAGCTCGATTTTGGCCCATTTAGTATAAACTGGTCATAGTGCCAGTATAAACCAATCTTTTTCAATTATTTATAGGGTCAGTAATTTTTTGCCTAAGCTTGTCAGGTTTAAAGTCCTTCAAACGGCGGAGGCAGTAGCCATCAGAATGAAGAAACCTGAGCTGTGTACAGAAGAAATATCTCCAACCCCTACTTCTCCCTTGGCCAACCACAAGGTCAATTAATGAACAATCATCTTAGCTATTGTATGACCTAATTTGACTATGTACTTACGACCTTTCGTAGTCAAATGTAATTGTCTCTTATCTTTATTCACAAATCTTTGTATTTTATTATTATTATTATTATTATTATTATTATTATTGGTTAAATATCATTATTAATCCCCCCTAAACATGATTCATTCACATCGCATTGATCCCTCCTTATTACGTCTCACTAATTTTTCACACATTTAGTCTTCCACTTGATCGAATTGTAATTGCACTATCATATCTCTCTCACCCTCTCTGACCCATATTTATATTCTGATCACAGATCTTAAATTTTCATTTTACGTATATACAGATTCAAGTTAACATTCTATATGAGTCATATCAACATTAACTATTTGGTTTGACAATCCTAAATTTACATGCTTTAAACTATGTACTTTGCCTTTAACCTGGCCAATTTTTCGGATTATTAATTTGGATATATAATTGTAGAACCTGAAGAGAATTTATCGAAAAGAATATTCTTCGTTCAAATATTAGTCTTTTAATATGATTGGGATTTTTAAACGATTAAAATATTATTACTTTAGAAATAGTGAAACAGTTCCATATATATGTATATAAATATAATGGATAATTAGTATTATTGTTGTATCTGATGTCATTGAATACTTTTTTTCTTTTGTGAAATCAAATTCCTAGGTAGAGATATGCAGAGATATGTAAATAAATTTTTTAGTTTTATTAAAACACTCAGAAAAAACAAAACAATAAATGATTGATATAAGAACCTTTGTCTAAATAAGAGCGAATAGTTTCACAGTATTTGGGTGCCGAGTTGATGTAAGACATTAAATAGGAATAATATATATTTTTGTAAAATCTCAGCAAATCTGGTCCAAGCTTGAACCAGATTACCAAGTGAAACGTTGGATTTACTTCAAATCCATTCGCTGAGAATTTACAAATATATATTATTCCTATTTAATAAATGATTAAGTTACGTAAAATTTCGTTTATTGATCCACATAAATAATTATAGAAATGCTCACAAAAATCTCACCGCAATTAGAATAGACTGGCTATTAGATTATTTTCTGAACAAGGAGGTATTCCATACTGTAAGGCGATTTGTCTCAAATATATATATATATATCCCATGGTGATTAGATGAAAACCATAAGTAATTTCTGTGTTTCATTCAAGATATCAATCTGCTCTAAATATTTCAGATAACTGTTTTTTATTTGGTTTTATTGCCTTTAGATCATGAACATTCTCCATCTATTGTTTATTCAATCTACTGAAAGTTATGGTAAGTAATCGCTTAATGAAACCAATTATTTACTAACAAAATGAATAAAATTTAAAATGATTCAACATACCATTAATTTTAAGATACATACCTTATGGATCACTTAGTTACTACCAAAAACAAGACTTGATAAGCAAAGAGGGAATCAAGGACGCGCGTTTCATCCTATTCAGGACTCGTCAGCTGGATGTATCTGCATCTTAGAGTTGATATTCACTCTGGGACTCGACCAGTTGCAATCCTAAGCATCTTTGGGAAGATTCAAACAAAACAAACAATACTAAGTGAATTCAAGACTTGATAAGTTTAATTGTTAGTTGCCATATTAAAATTCGCTCACAGGCTCATAGTTCATACATAGCAGTTCATTAAAATCAGTGTAACAGAATTATAAAGAACATTACCTATTTCCTACATTTACAGCTTCATTGATCGTATTCTATAAAACACTGTTTACGAATCCTATGTTATGATAAAAAGTGTGATTAAGCGATTCTTAATTTTCACTGATACTGTTATGATATCAATCTGTAACAGAAGTCAATAATGAATAATGAGAATTTATCCATTAATCATTTGGTTAATAATAAATGTAATTTCAAAAAAAATAGTTCTTTTCCCATTTTAAATAAAATGATATACGAGGTAAATACCGAATCATATATTTTGTTTAACCATGAAAAGTACAAAAGACATTAACTATTTGATTTTCTTGCATAAATAATTTAATAAATTCACTTGGTATTAATTGCTTGTATCTTCCCAATGTTGTTTAGGTCTGTAATGGATCAGTCTCTTGTTAGCATATGTGCATCCTGTACGGATTGCCTCAATATTGCCTTAGGTCACAAGCTTTATAAGCATTTAGCTGATGGGTCCCAAATAAAACAAAACGCCCCTCTTGGATTCAATTACTTTATTAAGCTATTGAGATAATCTTTCCCAATTCGTTCTCTCAGATGTCAAAATGTTTTTAAAAAACTCCATTTTATTTTATTGAGTTGATACGGGCAATTTGTTTGTCTGTTTTTGTTATAGTTTTTATCTAACTAAATTATTATGAATCTTATTATGAAAGATCTTAGATTTCGTGGTGAGACTATAATTTATGAACGACCTTTGAGCGACTCTAAAGTGGTCTTGAGAATGTCCACCAACTCACTTGGGTTAAATGGGGGTATTAAACCTGTGTAAAGGATAATGGTTGTGATTTACATTTGATTTTTATAGTTGGAAATTAGATTTAGAGTTTTCATCACGAACTGACATCAGCTAAAATTTCAAGATGCTATTTAGCCAAATGAATAAATAATTTCGCACCGAAATTCAAGACCTGTTGTCGTAAATCCGATTGGTTCATCAATAAATTATAGTCTCGCCGATTATGTTGAATTCGTTATTCAAAATGAAATAGTTTGCTCAATTCCCTTATGTATTAATTGAATTTCATATTTAATAAAAATACCTGAATACATAAATAAAGTTATTTCTTTATTGACACTAAATAGATATGCAAACAAGATTTTGACAGAAATATAAGGTATATTTCAGTTTAAAATAACTCCATCAAAAACTAAATCTAGTCTCCTGGCAAAATTTACCATTAAAATATCAAGTTTGTACTTAGAAAAATTGACTGTTTTGGCGTCATGTACAGAAAATTGATTAAATTCGTTTTAAGACTTTTAAATCGCTGTTGTCTACAGCGATCATTTGATGTTCGATATGAGAATCAGTAATTGTGTTAAACATTGATTCTTTTAATATATTCGTTTTAAAGAGCAATAATACAACGTTACTTGACAACGGTTATGTACTCTATTGATTTAACTATTATGCCCCAATCCATGTACTATAGATGCTAATTGTTTCGATAAAAATTCATTTATAGCTGTTTTAGAAGGTAAAAAAATTGTGAAGAAAGTTTATACAAAACGCCAACCCATAGTATTAACAGCTGCAGCTGGTTTTATGTCAAGTACAAACAGTATTGAAACAATGAATAATAGTAATGCTAATCGTAGTATATTTAATAATGGGAATGGTTTCTCTACTATTCATCATGTTCCCAAGAACTCAACTGGTGAATACATCCCACCAAATTTTATTACTGGAGCACATTTAGCGCCTGCACACTCTATATTCTCAGATATTAATAAAGAAAACTATACGAAATGGTCATTTTCTACTACATTTGACCCATCGACTCCATCTCAGTTAAATAAAGAAGTCAACAAAGATATATTAACAGATTTTTCTTTGTATGATCAACAAAATCAAACAGAGGGAGAGACTCATTCATTTGGTGGGGGGAATCAACAACAAATTATGGAAACTGATAATGATTTCCCACAAATTCATTCGGACTACCTTTATGATACAAATTATGATTTCCCGGAAGAAATGAATAAATATCAAGGTAATGAATAGTGAATAGATATATATATTAATTTTCTAAGTTGATTGACAAACATATCACTTATTAGTGTTTAATTTCTTAATGAATATTCAAGGATTCCGTAAACAAAGTATCGTGAAAAAGAATGAACATCATCTTATTTTATACCTCTTTATGAAATTTGATGAACAGTAAACATCTTTGAATATGTTTTGTTTGGGTGACTTGGATTTAACACATTTATTACATGACCGATGTTTCTTTTTTTGATATACCAAAAGGTTATGAGTGTAGAGTTTCAAACTGGTAAGTGTGATCTGTTTAGTTTCAAATACCTGATTATACAAAGCAGATATAGTTACCAACTATAAGTACTAAGAATGATTGAATATCTCAGTTGCTCTGTTCATCATGTAAAATTATGACTATTTTGAAATTCTTTATCAATGCCTTGGTTGGATTCATATGGATTTTCTAATTAAAATAATAACATAATATCATAACTATCTGGAATTTGCATAAGTAACAACAATTTATCAACATTTCAAACATTCAAAAGACAGGGTTAACAAATATTATTGATTCGAAATTTTTGTAGTTTGATTTCTTGCTTTCTTTTAGAACTGATTCTAGTATTTAAGTTGAGTAATAGATCATGGAATAATAGGTATTTGAAGTAACCAGTAGAAATCTATGAGTCTATGTTTAGTGGTAGTTGGCTCTTATTTACAAGGCGTTTCTGTATTCTTGAGGAAAATGATAATTGCCATGAGATTAGGAATGTCATCTTAATCAGTAAAGGAACTAGTGAACTATACAAGTTGCAACTAACTTTACAGGATACTCAGTTATTGACATTGATTTCTTAGTAAATGATTTCATTTTGTGCGGTACCTTGAATTCATTGAATTCCATAATTTAGGTTGTAATGGCCCTACAAAGTAAGTTTTCGAAGTGAGATAATCAGGTTATTTTTTTAAACAACTTGAATAGTTAATACTCAGTACATCGTACAACTATAAAATGTTTCCCACTACAATTTCACTATCAAATTATTGTTAGAATTGTTTTTAAGACGAATAATATTTCAAAGTACCCTTTGTTCATTCATCTACGATTGAGATTATATTTAAGTTCTATACTAATGGCCTTTACGAATAGCCATATAATCTTTTAAAAAATACAACAGTTTGTCTGATTTGTCTGATTTTTTTAACTACTATAACATTAGCTCTTATAGTCAGAGTAACATCTTGGCGACGGAACATAATTTCTGAAGCTATAAGTAACCTTTCGTTTAACTTATTACATAAGTACATGGGGGCATTTTATTATGTTTTTACTTTTAATATAATGGTAAAGAACAAGAGATTGAGTAGTTAAATGATCAATCACATATAATCGAGTAACTTATGTTGCATCGGTTTGTCTCTATCTTCGTACGTACAAACTGTATTAATGTATCACAAGGGAGTTTTGTGGAGATTTTAGTAATTTTATATAGTTAAGATCATGAGTCAGCTGAAGCTAGACCACCATCGAAAACCTGGAAGCACTGGACGGCCGTTTCGTCCAATTATGGGACTCCTCAGCAGTGCGCATCCACGATCCCGCTCTCGCGAGATTCGAACCCAGGACCTACCAGTCTCGAGCCAGAGCCCTCAATGTAGTAAAATCCAAGAGATGAATTTTTAATAATTCTAAGAACTATCAGTTCAATTTATCTATCTTCATCTCAATGTGAGTAGCTTGACTGATTTAACTTTTGGAAATATATAGGTGAGTTTCAATGCTAAGTTGCTTTTGCTTTTAATTTGTGAATGAAAACACTCCTATAAACACTGAATCCCCATCTTATTCGACAGGGATAATTAAAAATTTTGAAATATAGACGAAACTACTGCTCTACAAGTTAGTACTACATTTATCATATCACAAAAGTTAAGAATCTACTTAGAATACTTTAAAATATAAACGAGCTCTAACGTTAGTAACTGTTATGCCCCCCCCCCGATAAGGATGATGAATGATAACTTTGGGATCTATTTATGAACCAATATTATGTATATATTTTTCCTATGATCGCTAAACAACTAAACTATTCATATTCGTGGCCCCCTTATTGTAAGCTTTATTTTGACCTATAGACTATTACTATACGATTTACCATTCATGAATTACACCCAGCCTACTAATTACTGTTCCCCTGTTCACAGCCTTATTTGGCTAAATCTTGTACAGATGTCATTTTCTATTTTATGTTACGATGTGGTCAGTTTAATTGGTATATAAACTCAGTAAGTTTGAAATACAGTAGTTCATACCACACAGGCTGTTCTGGACTTAACTGGCTGCGCTAGGCAGAAGCAGGACTGATACGTACTCTAGACTGCTCGTACGGTTTCGTGTGTCACCGTTCCAATCGATAATTTGCTGATCTCTGATTGGCTGTCCTATAACGCCATACGTTAACAGGGCATCCACTCGGCCACATGTTATAACAGTAATACTATGGTGAACCAACATACTATAAACGATAACATACAGACAAAAACGATAACACATTTTTGATCGCCATCATTCGTAAAATTGCGCCTAAATAAAAACTATAAAAATATATAAATAATCATGTAAATCAGTGTTTATGCGACTTCATATATGACTGAAAAAGAAACTCCCATTCAAACATTTTAATGGTTACATCTAATATAATAGTAATATCTATGACATAAATGCTAAGTGACAGATTATTTAACTAATAGGTATATATCTGAACTAATTTTGACAACAACAATCAATCCTAGGTCATAATTATCTTATTAGATGTTTGTTACCATTATTATTCGACCTGCCAAAAAAAAATAAAGACCAGTACGTTTAAACCATTTATTAGGAACAGTGTTCAGTGTTTTATTTCCCGTCATTAAATATCATTTAACTGGATACGACCATCTTTTCTCTTTATCCACTTACTACAAGTTTATTTCAGTGCTTTGTTCACGCTCTAAGTTAAAAAAAATTTATGACTGCTAAGTGATCGTCTTACTAATTTTTTCTATACTTTTGCTAGTTGTAATATCATCGGATATGGATCCTCCATATTCTATGGACCAACCAAATGGAGCTGCTATCAACTCATCTAAATTTTTATGGTCATATAATAGAGATTATGATCAATCCATGGAGGAAAAAGTGCAATTTAAGCAGAATATCTATGTAGATAATCAACAGAAGAAAGAAGAAGCACGTCCAGTTTATCATTCACCAGTTCGTTGGGCAATAAGACAAATAGCTACAAATGGACAACCAAGACACATTGCTTGTAGTCAACCTTTAGATAGAGGCGTAGGTTCTAATGAATTATCTTCTTGGTACTACGATTCGAATGATGGGAGATGTCGCTGGTTTGGATATCGTGGATACGGTGGGAATGCTAATAGATTTTACAGCCGCACAGCTTGTGAAGAATTGTGCGTTCGAGATAACCAAAACTTATGTGAGGTATGTAAAATCATACAGCATTTTGACTTCAGTTAACATTATGATATAACTTTTAAAATGATGGCATCATTTAAATGTTGTTTTCAGGGTATACCAAGGGAAGACCAAACCTGCACAAATAGTACAATATATCATGAGTTATCCAAACATTTATAAAAATATCATGAATATCACTTCTCAGTTATAAACTACCAATAAATTTTCTGGTAATCAACCCATTTATACCCACTCTTCTGGTAAACAAGAGAATAGATCATATGTATCATCTTAATTGTTGTATGACTATAGACTTTGATAATTTATTCGTCTTTATTCATAGTTATCAATCTGATATTTGTAAGGTTAACATTTATTATCACAGACTCCAGCTAAGTGATGTATTGTCAAATTATTGTTTCTATCCCAACTATATTTTATTTTGGCGCTGTTATACATAGTAACTTTTCTAACTTATTCGGTCAATTTGTTCAAAAGCACTGAAGAGAACTACTTGAAACGAATATACTTTATTTTCAAAGTTAAATTCATGTGTCAATCTGAGCTAGACCACCATTTAAAACCTTAAAGCAATGAAAAACTGTTTTGTCTTAGTATGGTACTCTTCAGCAGTGCTTAGATTGACTAGTGAATTCAACTATGAAAATACTTTAATCTTCATATATCCCAAAATAGACTTTATTTTGGCAAATTTGTTATGATCTAGTGACCTCTTCGTACCAAATTCCCACATTACCTTTCTCGATAATTAAACTTCATATAGATATAATCTACAAGATTATATAACACAATTCAATAATGAAACCTCAGTAACAGAATAAAAATAATTTGTTATAACTTTGTTTATTTAGCTTACACAATAAACATTCCATCGTACAAACGTTAAATAGGAAAATTGATATGCCAATGACTAAGTTTTTTTTTCTTCAGTATAAATTATGCATAAATTATTGCACTGAATCAATATACACTAGTTGATTTTCTTTATGTTCAATGAATAAGGTTAGTGTATACTGGTACATTATTTTCAATAATCTTTATTTATTCTGTCATACAAATAGTTGTTTTTACAAATCAACAAGTGTTCAATTAATACTTCTAGAGTTTATCTGATATAGATTTTATCAAATAGCTATTTATTATAACCATAAGGTTTACCTATACAATTTATTTAAGTTTATTTGATTTGATGACTCTTTACACTTCATAATTCACATCATAAAATCATTGAATTCAAAAAGGAATTTTTACATTTGTGAATGAAAGTAAATAATCCGAAATTCATTTTCATTTCATCACATTATCAAGTACAATACAATTGAGATTATTGGCGTATCATAAGCAAAGATGGATAGTGGCTATCAATGGAATCCAGGATGCACGTTTCGTCCTATTTGGGACTTGTCAGCTGGATATACCTACATCTCAGAGTTGATGTTCCATCTTTGCTTACAATGCTTGTGAATTAAGGCTATATCGAGACAATAGGCACAGTATGCACATATGCCAATTAGAGGGTGATCAGCTGTAGTCCTAAACATCAATGAAAAGATTCAAACAAACAATACTAAGGGAATTTAATAAAATATTAATTAGGTATTTTTCTTGTATTTTGTACTAATTCAAGTGACTATTCATGATTCTGAATGAGGTAAAATTCAAAACCTCAAATTACCTCACTATGACTGCCATACGATTCAGCTATCCAATAAAAATTTAATGCTAAAACTGATCCAAATTTAATCAGTTAGAGTTCTAAAAAGTTATAACATTGTTGGAGTATAAATTTCATTTGTTTTCAGCTGTAATATTCTGATCATTAAAAAAGTAGCATTTATAAAATGTGATATTCCCCTTAAATTACAAGTCCTTTTTAAAATAAATGACAATAACAATTGTGTTCATGTTATAATTAACTAAAAAGAACGAAAATAGTTTTCTTATTATTTCCGGGTGGCTGTCAGTCACATTGTTTATTCCTCCATGATGATACTACAACATTTGTGAAAACATACTAATCTGAAGTTAACTGAAAGACACTTTGGCAGCAAACCAAGTCAATTTTAAGTTTATTCATCCGGTAATAACAAAAGCTATATGCTTTTTGTTGAATATACTCTCTTTTTCTCATAATTAATTAGAATACTTGTAGATTATCAGAAGGGAGGAGTCCCATAATAGGACGAAACGGCCGTCCAGTGTTTCCAGGTTTTCCATGATGGTCTAGCTTCAATTGACTCATGCTTTCTACTATGAAAAATACTTGTAGATTAGCCAACTACTTAAATATATTTTACCAATATTATATATTTACATGTAAATAAGATTTGTTATTTATTTAATATTTTTTTATTTATTTCGATCTCAGTTTGCCAAATGTCCAAAATCAATCACAACCTGTGAACTTGTTGGTGATCAATCATGCAAAGTTTACAAACAACAACATTCTAAATCATGGGAAGCTGAATGTCCACCAGATCAACCAGTCTGTGTCACTAAACGAAACACAAGAATGGCACCAGGTATATTGATGTTTACTTCTTTAGTTCATAATAGTATTTGGTGCATTATTTTAATTGGTTTGGTTTATAACTGTTTCTAACGTATTTGTAAAGAAATAAACATTGAAAAAACAAGTCAACATGGAATTTATAACTTTCTTCAAAGGGTTATTATTTTAATTTAATAAATTCATTGTAGTCTAAGATGAATCTTAAAAGATAGTTATACATAAGTAATGCTCTTAGGGACTTCACATTCTGTTTAGTGAAACTGTCACGTAAACGTTTTACTACTCAGGTCATATCTAATCTCTTGTTAAACAATATGGTGAGATATGATCTTGATTTCATGACACACTGAATTCTCTCAATTGAAGTAGTCAATTAAATTCAAGTTAAGTTCAACTACACCACAATTTACTGTCTTTATTATTTGTAAGTAGGTAAGAAGATCGTATCTTAATTGAATAATGGTAATCACTAGAAATCTTATGTATAACTTGGGTTTCGTGCTCAGTGACTATCATCAGAAAGGGATATCCACATTACTTAAAACCGGTAATGCTTCCTATATGACCTGGAACCATGAGATTCAGTGTCATAGTCAGAAATGTTACCAGTTAGTAAATGTGTCTACCAATGTAATCTTGTAGGACTTTGATTTTTACAATGAGTGATCAATTAGTTTAGTATTAAGAATTTCTTTAATCTGCCTTTATTGATTTTGGCTTCACTAATCAAAAAGTGTTACTCAATTCCATGATCTCCCATAGTTAACAGGTATGTTATTTTCATTTCAACTCCTGTATTACAAAATTTTATAAATAACAGATAATGTAATTTTAGTGATTGAACATTTATGATTATGGTCTAAAGGTTAAGTGTTCTCTCCAAGGCTTGAACGTTCTGGGTTTGATCTCCAATATGGTCATGAATGAGTACTTCTGAGAAGTACCATTTTGTTATGAAACAGCTACTGTGTGCTTCCTGGTTTTCAGTAATTGTTTATCTCCAGTCAATTCACGATGTATAAGACTCTATTTAGATAACAAATTGGTTTTATCGCCATAAATTACAGACTTACATTAAAAAGCTCATTGATACATACTACTTTTTACTTAACATTTTTTAAAAAATTTCTTTTTACCATTTCTTCTCTAGATATTGAATTTGAAAATGTTCCATCTGAATGCAAACAACCACCTGATGCTGGATCATGTCAAATAAAAAATCCATCACAAAATTTTTTCTATGATATAGAAAGCAATGATTGTACATCATTTTATTTTCATGAATGTGGTGGAAATGATAATCGATTTGTTACAAAATCTGAATGTATGAGTCATTGTTCACCTTGAATAAATTTTTTAACATCATCTTTGTCTTACATTATCTTCTCTTCCTTAACATTACCATAATCATTCTTATCAACCATGGAAAAAACCAACAAACATAATCACTTTCGTTCATATCTCTCAACTTATCATAATTATCATCAGAAGTGGTGTCAGTTTCATTATTGTTATTATTATTAATGCTATCATCCAAAGATATCTCATATTCATGAATAGCCATACTAGTAATATATATATACATCCTTTCTTGGGAATAAACAAACACATAGCATTAACATAATTTCTAATGAAAGGAATGTGACAACATTTTCTGATTGTTCCTCTTCGTCGTCGTCGTCTTCTTCTTCTTCTTCAATAAACTGCCTAACTTGGTTGATTTTAATTAAATTAATTCACTGATAATAACGTTAAAACTTTTATATCGAACTGAATCAAACGATTATAATAGTGATGATTGTTTTGTTTTTCATTTGCTTACATAAACATTCTTAATACTATATATACATTCATACTTTTCAATCCTTTTACTCTGTCCTATTAAAATATTAAAGAGAATTAAAAAATGAATTTTTCTGAAAAAATGAGTGTAAACGTGTATTTTTGCAAGTTTATGTTACAAATTATATTCCATGATAGGTCCAAATATCAATTGATATCCATGGATAAACTACTAGAGCCCATGAAGCATACTTACTTATTCCCAATGGAGGATAGGCTGCCCATGGAGCACTAAATGTATATATCATCATTTTTTGCGACATTTTAATAGTCTCACTCAAAAGCTTAAATGGGATCAACCTGAACAACCCAAACACTTTCGATAAACAGGATGATCTTGAAACATTAAGACAGAATCTAATGGTTCACATTTCACAAAACATTTGAGTAAATAATAGTCGTATGTTCGTTAGTAAATAGATTCAGGATGAGTTTACTAAATTTTTTAGTGATGAACTATGACATAGTCAACCAAACCAATAGTAGGATTTTAATTTACTAACGACACAGAATGATATATTAAAAATTGATTAAATTTGTAAACGGTGAGTAGTGGACTCCAGTTTATTGATTTGCAAGTAAAGCTTAAGCCATGTGTTCTGGATGTTATGGTCATAATCCAAAAGGCAATTATGAACGCATGTTCCTGATGAGTCTTAGGCTAGGTAATAACAGGTACAGTTCTATCATTTTTGATATTTCTCTAAATAATCCTATTTCTCAACACAAATTTTCTTTAAGTCATACAAAAGTGTCCACTAATTATCTAAGTAAATAACAAAATGAAAAACGTTTTGGATATAATGATTATTCATTCAATAGGTAAAATAACTTTAAAAACACTCTTTATGACTTTAAACGACCATTCTTAAGTTTATCCTTTATCAATAGGTGAATATACCAGTAATTTAGGTTTCACTTCTAGTTAATTTTAAGGGATGTTTAGCCAAATTGACTTTTTGTGCGTTCAATTATGATTTTGTCAACTTTTCACTTCCTAAACTATTATAAGATATTAGCAAACTGTATTGTGCTGTTTAATGTTTAAACTTCAATGTTCAATCCTAGCTGATGTTTTGAGTTACACCTTACAGCTAAACAACAAACAAGCTGATCAATCATACTAATAATTTTCAATAAAAATAGAAGTTCATCTATTTAAACTATTATTGATACTGTAAGCAAAGATGGATAGTGGCTATCAGTGGAATCCAGGACGCGCGTTTCGTCCTATTTGGATTCCACTGCTAGTCACTATCCATCTTTGCTTACAATGCTTGTGAAATAAGGCTATATCGAGGCAATACGCACAGTATGCACATAAGCCTATCAGAGACTGACCAGTTGCAGTTCTAAACATCAATGGGAAGATTCAAACAAGTAATACTAAGTGAGTTTAATGTTATTGATACTATTCAATATCTTTTCATTATCAAATCTAGAAATTTTATTTTGAATATCTTAAGGTCATATGCATAAGTAATAAAAGGACAATGTCATTTCGTTGTTTATGTTAATGTTTTCTGAATATTATAATCATGATACAAGTAATTGAATTAATATACAATTACTTGTATCTAAGTTGAAAGTGATAAACATTTTAACATGTTCTAAGATATACATAAAAGCACATAGATAATTACCCGGATTACTTCAAACACGTGACCTATAATATGAATCAATTAAATATGAAATAACCTTTACATAAAATTTCTAGAAGATATCATATTTATACTAATACCAGCTTTTCAGCCCATAGATCAGAATACGCTTAAAATTGGTCAGTATTATAACAAAGTAGTTGAAGAATGTTAGCAAACATTCGAAGATTTAGGATTTATTAAATCTGGATGATCATATCCCACGTAACTCGTGAAAACTTTTTGCTGATTTAAGAGAGTGTTCCTTGCGTACAAAACTCCAATGATTTATTGACGATGTGGTTTTAATGTTGATAATTACAGTTAAGATCTCTATACAACACAATTTAGCATTACTGTTTATAGAAAGCGACAAACACTTGTCTCAGATATATTAGCTACAAACTAATTGTCCAAATATCACTTCGGAAGATAATATCTTTTCTTACTATTATTAAGGAAATATTTAGTTGTCATATGAAAATGATATACTTTATAAAAATGTACGCGGAAAGTTTTATAAAAAAATCTTATTCATTTATGTTCAAATGAAATGGATTATAAGTCCTGGGTTCGAATCTCGCGAGTGCGGGATCGTTGATGTTCACTGCTGAGGAGTACCATAATAGGACGAAACGGCAGTCCAGCGCTTCTAGGTTTTCCATGGTGATTTAGCTTCAATTGACTCATGATTTCAACTATGAAAATACAAAATTCTCCACAAAACCCCTTCTGAAATGGATTAACCAATTTCAAAGTGGACTATCACAGTCTATAATCTGTTAACTTTGTGTTTTGAACATGATATTTAACATATAACACTAATGCATTTCTATATTACAAATGTGTAGTTGTTAGTTATAAGATAAAACCCATTTCACCCAATGAACATTTTCTTCTAGAAACTTCCTACTTATAACATTTTATAGTAACTTATATTTATAATCAATCAAGGTAGTGTAAGGAGTAGATGTAAAACAATTTTATTTAAATAACAAACTAGATGCAGTTCATGTATCTTCATAACAAATATTATGTAATAGAGATAACATAACATTCTAATAAGGTTAAACACTAAGATGAAAATTTGACTGTGTCAAAGAAAAGGTTACACCATGTTAATATCAATTAATAGGGTATGAAATTATTAGAATAACATTTATACGTATAGGAAATCTATATTTAAAATTAGCACATTTATTATACCTCATTTTATTAAAACAATAAAGATATATGATAGTGTACTATCTACAACTCATTGTATAGTAAACATTTGAAGATAAGAGGATATATGCTTTGTTTTTCTTCAATCACACAAAATCCAGAGATGGATAAATATATAATTCAACATTAAATATTGTATTTCATTTAAGGCAACAATTCCAATGATCCACCCAAATGAGCATGACAGTATTTTGGATTATCTCTTGATCGTGTGATAAAATAACGTGATGCTGAACAAGATTGACGAGTTCTATTACTTGATCTTGTACGTTCGTTAATTTTATATCGACAACATGGTCTTCCAGTATGTTCAGAAGTGTTAAAATCACTACTGGCATTGATCGGACAAAGTGGACATTCTTGACTGTATGGATCAATATGTGTATGGTCCACTCGACATTCCAGCTGTGTTGGAACTGAATAATCTCTTCTGCGATTATTTGGTTTCGAAATTTCAGAATTATTGTTACGTTTTTGTTGATATTGTGAATGGTTATTATAGTAGTAATCCATTGCTTCAATACCAAGCTTCATTTGGATTACCTTTGATCGATGCTGTTCACATAGATTAGAATGAACTGGATAATATTTTAAATTGCATTGTGAACATACAGCATTCATAGATGGTTCTGATGTAGATGCATTATTTAATCGTTGTAACAGGTCAATATGTGATCTAGTTGCTCTCTCTGATAATAAAGGCGATTCTCTACACTTTAGATTATGTTGACAACATTCGCAATATTTATGTTTTGTAAAATGTAAATAGTCCGCTTTAGAATCCTCGTATTTATTTGTATTTAATTTATCATTCAGTCTTTTTGATTGATAATGAATTGCCTCACTCTGAATTGGTTTTAAAGCATCATATTTACACAATGTTCTTGGTAAAATATTTACCTCTGGAGATGATTTTCGCAATTCCGAAAAGCAACGTAAAACATTTAAACCGATTTGTATGTCTTCCGCTAGAAATACATAACAAGTTAAACAATTTTCACCGTTCGCTGATAAACGCGGGACCATAAAATAAATCAATGGCGGACGTAATACCGTGCGGTAACGTAATAACCAACTTGTTATTTGATTATCTAACTTGATTAATGCATCCTCAGGTATACAACGACGTGTATCGATTATTCGACGAAAATAAGCGTAACAGTGGTCTCGATTCTTATTATTGTTACCATTGTGAGCACTAATATGACTAATATTACTCCCAACAGGTGTTACGACTTCAAAGTAATAACAGTTAAAATAGATCAATTGATACGCCAAAAAATCTTCATCAACTTGGGATGATAACGATGGCATTACCGATGAGTTTTTCGATTTGTCATCTTTTCTTTTATTTCCTTTGTAATCCAGTGATTTGATGAGAATATGACCATTTCCAATGGCTAATATTACACTGTCATAATTTTCTGTCATTACTGATTTATAAGATAAAATAGTTTTGTGATTATTTGATGATACAGATGATGCAGTCAGTTTTGAGGACGATATTTGTCGAAGGAATTTCAAATAATAATCAATCAATAATTCATAAATTGTTTCCAGTTCACAGTCATTCGATTTTTGAATGGTGGAATGTCCAAGATAACTTAAGGTAAATAATGACATTGATGAAGATGTCATTATAGTTCTATGATAAATTTATAAAACTCAAAATCTGAAAGTGAATTAGTGTTGATAATCCTGTGACCAGCTTTAGCCCTTAAGTAACTGATTAGATGTGATATTTGTAAGTGATTTAGCTTATTTGCATAATCATATTGGTTGACTAAGTATTTTGCGTACACAATTAACACATACCATATCGCATCAACAATAATAGTAATCACATATAAATGGTGTTAAAATATTTAGAATGTCATTGGTGGATAGTTGTTACGTTATTTAGATAAGATAGATCACGAGGTAAGGCTATTAGTGTAAGCTTTATAAAGTCTTTTAACGATGAACCAAATAGGAGGAGAGCATAACTAGTTCTAATAACTGAAAGGCTTTCATATGTTCACATCATACTACCTAGGGTGTTAGTTTAATTTGAATTCTAATATTGTAGAATAAAAAGAAATATGGAGATATTGAATAGACAATCTTAGTATGAAACTCTAAATAACTCTTATAAAAAATTTAATGGTGGATGGTTTATAATCATAACGTAGGCAAGTTTATGTATGATAAATTAACAATAGTTTC